AAAAGTCTGCTTGACAGCGTAGTCACGGTAGCTGTAATTACTTTATTAAGTTTACTTCTTTGCAGTCATATTAAGAGACAAATCTTTAACGAACTAATACTTTGTATAATTTTAATTGTTGAGTGAAAGCTGCGCCTGCAGCCTTGCTGGCACGCAACATTTCCAAGTGAATTACCTTATACCTAGAAACTTAGCATACCCATACATGTTTTAAGCCTATAAGAAGTTCATTTTTTGCCTCAAATAATGTTGTATCGAAAAACTGGCGTAGGTGTATCGGGAATAATATATGAACCGTCAATATTAGAACTCCATCCTGCGGTACATCCTTAATGTGTCGGAATATGGTGCGTTTACCCTATTCCATGCCATGCCGATGCCTTAATAGCAACAGCTCAAAAATTTCAAACAGAGATAAGATTTTTTGTTTTTATTTTATATTTATCCACTGAGGAGGGCTACACTCATGAGTGGAGCGTCTGGGTCCAGGGTGAAAATAATCGCAGCATCACTGAATTATATATATATAGTCAATAAAAGTCAGCCAATCATGTTGCATACTAACATTGTTGATTCAATGATGGTTAGGACTTAGGCCTACTCAATCAATTGCATGAATTGAACTTAGGTAGATTCTTAGACCAAAAGTACCTAAGATAAATATGAAAGCATTTTTTGATGTTAGTAATTAACTTCTTAGAGTACAACATTCATTTCAAATTTAGCCTACCTAGTAGGCCTAGGATAGCATCATAGCTATTGAACTCAGAAAACCCATATCATAATCAATGATCAAAATGACAAATCCTGTGGACCTGATCCAGTCATTGCAATGATTGCATGCATAGCCTACTATAGCTAGGCTAAACTGATACGATACCTAAATCATAAAGCCAAGTACTAATCTCATTCTTATCAACAAAATTAGGCATTCTTCATGTAAATTACCACTGATGAAAATCTGGTTTTGTAAAATTAGTTAAAATATCAATGAATTCACTGTAGCCTTGTAGCGTAACCGTAACTGCGTAAGTCGTAACAAAATTCAATATTCAACACTCAATCAACAGCGGCATCTCTTCTCAGGAGAGCAGAACAGCCTACACTCAGGCTACAGGCTACACTCCCAGCTCCCTTACAGCTGTACAGGCAAGTTGCAATACGCTTGATTCGGCTTAAATAATAACTGAATGAAATACTCATCAACCGTAAAAATGACTACAGCTGCGGCAATTTTTCTAGTGACGTTTAAGAAGAAGCACAATGTTTTATTCGCAATGGAAACTAGCAAATTTAATTGATTTTCAACGACAACCTTCCGCTGAAAACATTATGTCCAATATTTGTTGTGTTTCAGCAGTGTTGCCATCCAATTTGGCTAATTTCACTTTCGAAAAATTTTGGCGCGATATTCTTCAAAATCATAACATAGCAACTTCAGACCACAATTTAAACAGGACAGTGCATTTTATAGATAAATTTGAGACATCTATGGTTACTGATTTGATTTAGCTTTTCTACCTGAAAATTATAATAATGAAACACCTATTCATATTAGGTATATCATAGTGATGTCGGCGCTGAGAGCCTGATGTGGCCTGTAGCCGATTCTTAGAATAGAATAGAATTGTCGGCCCTGAAGAAATAGGCCCATGGCCTGTTGCCAATTTTTGTACTTTTCGTGACTTGATTCCACAAGGGATCCGGCCTTCTGACAAGGGATTCCGGCTAAATCAAATCAGTAACCATAGATGTCTCAAATTTATCTATAAAATGCACTGTCCTGTTTAAATTGTGGCCTTCCGATCTTTCCATAACTGACAATTGATTGAGATAGCTGCTGGACTTCTTGCAAAGCCCCGTAAGTTTCTATAGGCATTTCAAGACTGAACATATACTTCTGTAGTCCTGCATAGCTTCGTCTAGTCTGTTCTTGAAGGCGTTCAAACTTTCAAACAAATCAACGATGCATGCTGTCAGGGAGGCTGTTCCACATGTCGGTGACTCGAAGCGGGATCAATAATAATAGCGGTTTCAGCGTTAGTAGGCCACAGGCCTGTTGCCGATGCTTAACATCGCAGAACATTCACAGCATTTTGCAGTCTCGAACTCGCAACTCACTGCTACAAGTCTGCAGTGCACAACCGCCCGGCCTCCTTGCTTATTCTGACCAGGAACTGGGGCACAGAGCTGGGATCGAACCCGCGCCTCTCTGCGTTTATCTTGGTACACTGAACTGTAACCACTGGGTTACAAAAGAAATGTTGTTGCATAGATGTGCTACAACGAAGTTTTTTAGTTTATAGCCATGGGCCATGGCCCTGGTGTTGGTTCTTGTTTCAAATTCTAGGACTCCTTCTGGCACCTTGTATAAACCGTGGGTATACATGTATACTTCAATGAGATCACCACGCCGACGTCGATAACAGAGGCATGGAAGCTTCATAATCTTCGTAAGTTTGATGAGAACCTTCTAATATGATGAATCAATGTATGATTTAATGAATACTGGGTCATTTTTTTTTATCTCTACCCGTAGTATATGATGAGGCTGAGTGTATATCTTAATCTTTCTGCAGAAGGCTTGCCCCTTAATCCCGGAATTATCCTTGTTGCACGTCTTTGAACACTCTCGACTACATTTTTGTCCTTTTCTAGTTTTGGTGAC